CTGTGTGAACTCGGTGCATAAAATAATAATCCTTCTGCATACAGTATGTGACACTGTGAGTGTTGCACGGCCAGATGCGGCTCAGCTGACTCAGATAAATAAGGAGATGATACATTATGATGTGATATGCCGCGGACTGTACTTCATGTTACTCTGATCCGGTTACTTATGTTGTGGCAGATATTTAAGTAAGCTTTCTTAACGCTAATGTTCTAATAGTCAGATTGCTCTGAAGATGGGAGGTGATATTCTATTAATGTTCACGTTCACACAGTCAGTGATTTTTGCCGGCCGTCTTTCCTGCAACGGCAGCTTTTCTGTATTTCCTTTCTCCTGTAATATGACTTGATCGCTTTAAACTCCGCACACTGAGCTCTGATTGGTCAGCAGGCAGTGCTTTCACTGAGTTGAGCTCTTAGCCTGCAACCTAACCTGCTCCGGGGCAGGTTAGCCGCTCAGCATCAGTTACCATGGAGATCTAGCCTGCTAAAAAGAGAACCAGCTTCGTAGGACTGGAAACCTGGAGTTAACCTGAAGTTAGCCGCTAAGAGAACATCCTGCTTCGTAGTACAGGCCTCTGGTGTGAAGGAGTTGGTGAGATAAAAACATACAGAAATATCAACATGCTGTAGTTTTAGGTTTTAGCGTCTTTCAGTTGTCTTGGTTTGCAGATACGATGAAGCAATCATAAACTTCCTGTACAATCAGTCAAAACATTGCAATACGTTTTCGAGATCGTGTAGCCCTAATGTAAAGGGAATTACCTTAACCTTTAGTACTGATCTAGTTAAGTAGAGGTCTTCACATATTGGTGGTGTACATGAACAGACATTTCCATCCCTTGAATCAAACGAGTGAAATGTCTGCACACGTTGAAACAGGAAGTGATGCGTGCTCTCTGATATCTCCAGATCACCAAGCTGGTCTTACATCAATCACTTTGTAGTCATGGTGACTCGTTTTAGGGTGAAATGTTGTAAAATGAGATAAACTGTAAGCAGTGGTTAAGCAGAATGTGTGTGTGTGTGTGTGTGTGTGTGTGTGTGTGTGTTTAAAGCAGCATGTTGGAGGTAGCTTTTGTTCTTGTCACACAGACGTTATGTTGCACCGTGAAATATTCTTTAACCTCCTCCTGTCACACTTTAATCTTCTCAACAAAGGATGTATGTTGTTTGAATGTTTGTTAGACAGCAGCAGATAATGCATCTATTCTTTAACTGCCTGAACCTCTGGGCCCCTTAGCGACCGAGCTAAAGCGATGCTAACTGACAATTAGCATCGCTTAGTCAGCCTGTTAGCTTGAAGATCTGTTCTCTCTCCTAAGTAGTTATCTTAGTACATCTTCATTGAATTAAATGATGTACAGTTCTGAGAACAGAAACACAGAGAGAAACGATTATTCTGAGAGATTAGCATTAGCATGTCCTTAGCTTGCTAGTGTGTTAGCGGTTAGCTTCCCAGCTACTAGGTGTGGCTACTAGAGGTTTTGGATTAAATGTAGACTATTTTGAATGCAGGACCTTTACTGTAACAGAGTATTCCTACCAGAGGTCGCATTAACCGAATATTTTCCGTCTTTGACAGATTTTTTTTAACAATTACAGAAAAATCTGAAAGGAGTCTGTCATTTTGACGGATTAGAACAAAACTCGGAACAGCGCCAAAGTTTCCCCGCAGCGAGGCTCTGCGTTATGCCGTGTTATGGATGCCCGCCAAAAAGGAAATGATACCGTTTCCAAACCGTACTTTGCCGTACAGATCATTGAAATGTCTGTGAGTTTTGGCTTTACGCTGTGCGCTCCCGCGAGGTGCATGCATAACACGCCGCTACAGTTCACGTGCTCTCCCCCCCCCTCGTCAGAGTCGTGTACGATCCTGTCCGTCAAAATGACGGGCAGCGAAAAGGCCTAGCGCAACCTCTGATTCCCACACTCTGGTACTTCTACTTTTACTCAAGTACAAGATCTGAGTACTTCTACTATTACTACAAGATCTGAGTACTTCTACTATTACTACAAGATCTGAGTACTTCTACTTTTACTAAGTACAAGATCTGAGATAAACAGAAAGTAAACTGTGTGTATATATAATAGGATGTCTGTAAACAGATGTATGAGATGAAGCTGATCTCTCTCTGAAGTTTGTAAATGTAAATCTGTAAACACATAACCTTTAGTGAGTGTTTCCATTAGCTCCGCCTCCTCTCTGTGTCCCTCATGCCCTCCGGGGTGATTGTGGTTAATGAGAGAAACCAGATTATCTGAACCGGTCCACAGCTGTCCGTCACAGAGCTGGATCACATTAGAGCGATTTAAACAAAGGTCATCTGGACATTAGACAGAGCGGTTAGTGATGGAAACTCCCCGAGGGACCCTGACACACACACTGACTTCCTGTCTGCTCTGCTTTCCTCAGGACAGATCCACACTGATGCGGACACATTGATCTACTATCTGCATGCACCTTTAGAGCTGGTTGGCAGGTTGTTTTCTTGCATCGTTGGGGATTAAAAACCTTTACGAAAGAGTAGACATCCCTTGCTTTTACTGCAATGGAAGCAACTAAACGTATAAGCAGCCCAAAAAAAGATATTTTGACGATAAAGACAGCAGCACAAGAGTCATATTTAGTATAGCATTGAAGTGTTACACAGTCTTATCTCTTTGGGCTTTAGTCAGTCCAATTAAAAGTGTCCGCGAGGGGTTAAACACGAGAAGATAAACACTTTGACACGATCAAACCATCGCTCCACTCCTTCCGCTTCGTTTGACCATTTATTGCTTATAAAAACAAGCAATAATAAAATACATCCAGGTGCTGATAACCTTAAGATGACGATGCCACTGGTGGTTGAGGATATTTCCACAGAAGGTTTATCCTCTCTTTCCATTCAGAGCCACAGTGAGCAGGTGAGCCAGGTTCAACATCCACTAACTCCAGAGCACGCCCAATAACACCGACAAAATACCTGATCATAAATAACACATGAACCTTACATGTGGCTCCTACACCATGCTTTTACTCCAAAGGAAACAACTATGGCAACCCAAAAAACAATATGTTGACCATAAACACAGCCGAGCAAGAGTCAACATGCACGTATTTATAGCATTTAATCACAGTGTTATCTCTTAAAGCTTTTGATGCCTACACTTTTCCAAAATTAGAACGTTAATTCTCTTTTAGTTTTTCAAATTCTACCGTTTTCCAATTTTCCAGAAAACCACGCACTGCCAGTTGATCTGAAGCTGATGAACCTGCTGGTTTCTTGCTGTTCATAGTCTATTGCACGTATTGTCAGCTAAATGAAACGTAATGAACTGTAAAAGCTCAAATCAGCGTATTTGACGAATAAAGATACTGAATCTTGAACATGGACGTGGCGGACAGACGTCAAAGCCTCACATATGATTGTCATGTGGTCGATGTTTTGGAAACAGACACACTATGGTCTTTATGAACTCTCTGTAAGCAACAAGGAGCCTTCACACTTGAAATAGCGTGACACTGCTCGGAGGAAATGGTAAAGAACCTTTTCGTTCAGGCATCATGATACTTCACTTAGCTAACTGCAAAACAAAGGGAACTCTCATCACCTCAGTCCCACATGGAAACACCTCCTTCCTGTGTCACTGGGGGCAATCACTTGGTTATTAATGGATCCATTTAAAAAATAAGTATATCACATATCAGCTGTTAAATTGAAGAGAACTGGTTACACACAATATGATGCAAGGACTGGGCTGAGGTGTCAATAACTGCTGGTTTATGAAGTTTGGTTAGGGTTAGGTTGTAGGGTTAGTTTGTAGGTTGTTGGGTTAGTTTGTAGGTTGTTGGGTTAGTTTGTAGGTTGTTGGGTTAGTTTGTAGGTTGTTGGGTTAGTTTGTAGGTTGTTGGGTTAGTTTGTAGGTTGTTGGGTTAGTTCGTAGGTTGTTGGGTTAGTTTGTAGGTTGTTGGGTTAGGTTGTAGGTTGTTGGGTTAGTTTGTAGGTTGTTGGGTTAGTTCGTAGGTTGTTGGGTTAGTTTGTAGGTTGTTGGGTTAGTTTGTAGGTTGTTGGGTTAGTTTGTAGGTTGTTGGGTTAGTTTGTAGTTTGTTGGGTTAGTTTGTAGGTTGTTGGGTTAGTTTGTAGGTTGTTGGGTTAGTTCGTAGGTTGTTGGGTTAGTTTGTAGGTTGTTGGGTTAGTTTGTAGGTTGTTGGGTTAGTTCGTAGGTTGTTGGGTTAGTTTGTAGGTTGTTGGGTTAGTTTGTAGGTTGTTGGGTTAGTTCGTAGGTTGTTGGGTTAGTTTGTAGGTTGTTGGGTTAGTTTGTAGGTTGTTGGGTTAGTTCGTAGGTTGTTGGGTTAGTTGGTGTGGATTTGTGTCTAAAGAGTTGTTTTGCCCTCCTTACTAGAAATGTGGGAAGTAGGAAAACGAACGTTGTCTGTGATGGTGATATCTCTCGTATGTTAGCGCATTAGCTACGTTTGATTACTAAAGTTAGTTGTATGGGTTAGGGTTAGTGTCTTCTGGTCCAGAATGACCATATGTGCAAAAGTGAAAGGTATCTAAAGATTATTATATATATATCTATGTATTATATTTCCATGTGTATTTTATAGTTTAGGACCAACATTGCTTGTCTTATTTCAAGGATCTTTTATTCCCTTTCTTTTGAGTTATTTAGGAAAGCTTTTCTGGTTGTTGATTGGTTGTAACACTCTGTACTTTTTCTATAAAGATTTGTTGCTTCACAAAGACTCTGCATTAACCGCTGCAAACACATATCTGATCATCTCTCTCTCTCTCTCTCTCTCTCTCTCTCTCTCTCTCTCTCTCTCCAGCCATCCTGGTCTACAGAGTATTTCGAAACGAAGCGAAGAGGAACGTAAAGATTCTTCATGGCATCATCCACCTGCTCGCCCTCGTCGTCAGCATCGTAGGTGAGAGACGGCAGCTCTTCAACATTTAAACCTGTCCCAGAACAATCTTCTATTAAATCAGAGAACAAAGACTACAGGTCGTGATGGGGAAAAACAGATAAAGATGCATTCCTGCAGGACGGTTTGTCTCTGCCTTCCCCAACAGGAGGAGATCAGCGTGTTTTTGCAGAATGAGTTTATTCATATACCGTTTGTTTCTCGTTGTGTTTTTGGTCAGGTATCGTCGCTGTGTTTGACTTCCACAGAGCAGCAAAGATCCCCGACATGTACTCTCTGCACAGCTGGTGCGGCATGCTGACCATCGTCTTATTCTGCGTACAGGTAAACACACACACACACACACACACACACACACACACACACACACACACACACACTCGACCGAAGCACA